CGTGCCAGTGAAATGACCTTTGGCGATTGTTTCAGTTAGAACGCTTTGGGCAGCAAGTTATGACAGCTCGACTCACAGTGGCTTAAGCCATGACGACAGACACTGTTTACTTGACCAGAAGCCACAGGCTTGCTCCGACAGCTCAGTGAGAGGCTTTTTCCCCTTTGCCCCACCATCCCCTCTTTGTGGGCTTTCCTTGACCTTGTTTCTTAGGGTTACGAAATATCTGTCATTGCTTCCTGCAAAAGGACATCACTCATCACGGGAAAAGCATTCCATACACTCCCCCTCGTCTCTTTGGCTAGAATTTGGTCTCATGAGTACCCCGAGCCAAAGCCTGGCCAAGGAGAAGAAGGAGTGCTGTGACCGGCTTAAACTAGTAGGTTAATTGGGGCATATTGATCCCTGGGGGGACTGGGGGGTATACAAAGATTATCAAGGGGTGCGGGTGCCTAGATTCTTTTAATGCGCTTAATTTACAAATCCTCAACCTCCTATGTACTCAGACGGCCAGAGGAATTGTCTGTGTGCTCAGTCATCCTTCACTCACCTAAGAGGCTTGCTCAGAATTCACCCTCACTCCCACCCACCCCCATGGTGTCCTGCCCTGGGGTGAAAACAGCAACCAGGCATTAAAGCCTCCTTAATAGTAACCTCTATTCTCTTATTCTCGTTCTCTAGCTGGGACATTTCTCCTAAGGGTAATGGTGGCCTTGGGTTGGAATGTTCTGGTTTTCGAACCAAAGCAGTGAAATTGACTGACACTGACTGATTCTCTTAACTGAAACGGGAGTATTTTCCGATGCTTCTAAATTTTTCAAGACACATCAAGGAACATCGAAGACTACCCTTCTAAGTGCGATTCCTTTCAGATCTCGTGTGCATAAATCGACAAGATAAATAAAAATGTGTTTTATTTAATAACATCAGGGCGTATTCATTCTAAAGACAGTAAATCCTCATCTTATGTCACTGGAAAATGCTCCATTAAAAATATCCATGTAAACCTATGATGAGGCTTTCTAGTAGTCAGTTTAGGGTATAGTCCCTTGGGTTCGGCACCACCTTCCCAAGAGAGACTCCAAAGTTGGCGTGTACATGCCTAGTGGGTCGGCTGCCATCACATCCACCGTGTTTTCTTCACGCTATT